GTTTTCCAACTGTTTGCCTGCTACAACTTCTCATAAACAAATGATCAATAGAGTTGACAGTATTTGTTCTGAATGACTCTCAGTTAAGATGTTTTCTATTTACTATTGATATATCAATAACCCCTGAGTCACAGCTAATCAAATAACTATAGACTTTTGATTGAGGGTTGTGGTTTTGCTTTTCAGGAATAAGCAATCAATGCATTTTTACTTGAAACCAATGTGGTGAATCTACTTTGATTTTTCTTACTAAAACCATCTCAATCTTCATGGTTTGATTCTTTATTTTCTTCTTCATTTCAAGATCATAAATGGAAGCCTGAAGAGCAAAAACCCAAGGATGTGCTTGGACCCCCACTGAGAGGTGATCTCTGACCACTGGATCACTTTTTTCTAGGGGGAAAAAATAGATGGCCAGGCTTTGTGGCTCACGCCTGTAATCCCAGCACTGTGGGAGGCCCAGGCAGGTAGGTCACTTGAGGTTAGGAGTTTGAGACCAGTCTGGCCAACATAGTGAAACCCCATCTATACTAAAAATATTTAAAAAATGTAGCTGGGCATTGTGATGGGCACCTGTAATCTCAGCTATTTTGTAGGCTGAGGCAGAAGAATTGCCTGAACTTAGGAGGCAGAGGTTGCCGTGAGCCAAGGTGGTGCCACTGCACTCCAGCAGCCTGGGCAACACCATGAGACACCATCTCAAAATAAAAAATTACAATTAAGGAATTTAATATGGGTCCAATCTTAGATGCAGAAAGTAGATTTTGATGAGAGACCACATCCCTATTTTCATTCTTATAGTATAATCATATTTGAGTTTGTAATTCCATTCACTGAAAAAATAACAAACTAGGCAAAAATGCCTATGGAAGAGAACGCAAGCATTTCTGAGTTTAAAATTCAGATTTCATGATTTAGCAAGGAATTCTGATCACATATAAAGTTGTCCATGGTTTCTGAAACGTGCTCATCTTGCTCTACTGCATAAGACCCTCCCAGATTTCCCTCTATGTTCGGGGTAAAGTTGCTAATTTTTGCATCTTCGCCAAGAAACTATGTACTCCTCCTGCCCCTGTCTACTCTGCAGCTACTAGTCTCCCTGAGACTAAGGTTGTCTCTTTCCTTTTAGCCATGATGGTGCATTTGCAGTTGTGTAGATACAATGTATTATTTCATATTCCTCTGGTAATGTTCTTTCTATTTCTTTTCTTGGGATGATCTCCCTCCTCCCAGATTCGTCTTTGTGGGGACCTACACAGGTGTTTTTGAGACTCACCTCAAGTGCCACCTACTGATGTGTAAAACTAAGACTGGAACTCAGGAAAATCCTTAATGATTTTTTTTTTTTTTTCTGACAAACAACCTGTCCTTACCCAGTCCCAAAGAAGAGCACATTTCTTCTGGTCGGCTATTACTGTACTTAAACATTCTTCCATCAGAGTCCTGCCAATATTGGTGTATTTACATTCATATTTCCTTTGAACATGTATAAACACCTCAATGACAGAGACCCAATTTGATTTTTGTATCTTGGGCAAATATCACAATGTTAGGGAGGTATTACATGCTTAATAAATATCTGTTGAACAAATGCATAGATTTCCGTTAGTTCAAAGACTTTTTACTTCTGCTTAAATGTATAAAACACACATTAAATCAGTATCCATACTGATTTAAGAAGGTAAAACAAATGTCACCATGGATTGCAGAAATCTTAACTTGTGATCACTGAAGCAACTGATTTTTTAGGATGAGTTGACACAGTTTGTATGGTTTGAAGGACACATGGGATTTAGAAACTAAATATTGTTATCTTGATTCCGGTTATATTTGAAACTGAGTCAACTTGTGCTTTTAGTAGCACAGCTAATAAAGACAGCATTGTTACAGTAACTCTATTTTCTGCACAAGTACAAACTTCTTTAGTATTTTAACTAAACTATGTGATGCTTTATGCTGAAGAAGTTATCTAGTCCAGTGTTTAGGGAAAAACAGATACTTGGCTAATATATCTTGAATTATTCATGAATAAATGAAAATAGAAGAAATTCAATTTACTTCTCTGATTTTACAGATGATAAAATTGAAGCCCAGTTAGTTGCAGAACAATGACAAGTAATCAAACATCATGGCTCCTGGGTCAACAGCTGCTTTTCTGTACATATAATAAATATTATAAAATGTAAGGATTTTAGATGGATAGAACACACATCCAGAGACATGGAACCTCATTGCAGGATAAGAAACATTGACACACATGCACACGTATGTTCATTGTGGCACTGTTTACAATAGCAAATACCTGGAACCAACCCAAATACCCATCAATGATAGACTGGACAAGGAAAATGTGGCACGTACACACCATGGAATACTATGCAGCCATAAAAAATGATGAGTTTGTGTCCTTTGTAGGGACATGGATGACCCTGGAAACCATCATTCTTAGCAAACCAACACAAGAACAAAAAAAATCAAACACCACATGTTCGCACTCATAGGTGGGTGCTGAACAATGAGAACACATGGAGACAGGGAGGGGAGCATCACACAGCAGGGTCTGTTGTGGGGGGAATAGGGAAGGGAAAGAGGGGGGTAGGGAGGTTGGGGAAGAATAACATGGGGAGAAATGCCAGATATAGGTGACAGGGGGATGGAGGCAGCAAACCATATTGTCATGTACGTACCGATGCAACAATCCTACATGTTCTGTACATGTACCCAGAACCTGAAGTACAATAAAATACATAGAGGAAAAGAAAGAAACATTGATCATAAACCCAATATGTACCTTCCATTTTACCGTGTGCTGTGGATACAGACAAGAAATGAATGAGCCAGAGTGCCCCATGAGGTGAGTACAGCCTCACAGAGGAAGAATTTATAGTTCAGTATGATGTATGAAGTGTTAGGGGCACAAATGAGAAAGCAACTGCACCCGAGGTAAGAAAGGGAAGAAGGGGGAGCCACAGGGAAGAGGCAACATTGCATATGCCTCCTGAAGTAGGCACGTTCCAAGCTCAAGAGCTGAGGAATGACATTTCAGGCTGAAGACACAACTGCAGCTCATCAGAAGTGACAAATCCATGTAACAAAGTAGTTCTCTCTACAATAACAGAACCAAAGACGACCTTAGCTGAGGGACACTACTGCCCAAATGAAGAAAAATGACAAGTTGCTTCTCAAGCCATCCCAGAGTGGGAAGCCAATGTGCCAGGAGCTATAAAGAGCCTCAGAAGAATAAAAGAAAAAGAGATGTACCCCTTCCTGTGGCAAAAGCACTGCATGCCAACACACCTTGGCTCTGTCAGATAGATTTTTACATAGGTTACCTTTGTAATTGTTTTGTATATTAATATTTTAATACGCATAAAGTATCTTTTTTATTCCAAGGGATTTTTTAAAAAGGTAATTTTAGTGAAGTCAGTACCTTTCGGTGTCAAAATGTATGTGTCACTGCAGCCTTAGGTAGAGAAACATCACACTGATGTGGGTTGCTCTCTAGACCTGACAATATCTAATGTTAGAAGGAGTTTAAAAATCTTGAGTCGAGTGAGGCATCAAAGAATCGATATCGTGTATTGACTCTAGGGAAGTAAACTCTTGGATTCCAATCCCACTGATTCCTCCATCTCTAGAACTCCATCCTTCACTAAAAGTGAGGGTTGCCAAGTGAACTGTCTCAATGAACACTAACGGAGAAAAAGTTCATCTCCCTGCCTCACCTCACCCTGCTCAGTGTCCTAATAGCCACAGGGAAGTGTGAGGTCACACAGTCTGAGGGATAGGAGGAGTAAACAATAAGTTTGGATTAAAATAAAAATTCAAATGGAAATTAGAATAAAGAGAACAGACATGTGAGACATGAAAGAAAATGGCTTAAATTTCTGGAGGAAAGAGAATTTTAACAAAACATGCAGGAGATTATTAGCAACAAGATTCCACAGGCTTCTTATTCATCATCATCAACACGGAGCACTGCATAGTGTTTCAAGCCTCACGAGTAGATTCCCAAAGCATCAGTTCAAGACCCATTACTGTTAGCTATGCAACCATTCAATTCCTCAGGTTTTCTAAGCCTCAGTTTCCTCATCTATAAAATGGGAAAAATAGTAGTAACTAACTTAACAGGTTTTCGGCGAATTAAATAAGATGATGCACATAAACATTAGCACAGTACACACCCACAGAATACAGAATAGACTCTCAATAAATTCTACAGTCATCATTACCATAAAAGAAATTTTAAAAACTCAAACCTGACTACCAATTTTGTGTAGTACTAGACAATCCAAGGAAAGATTCATCATCCATCTCAGATCAGACATCCCATGAACAGTCATTAATTAGGTAGATGGGTCTGAATGATTGACTGAACTGCTTTTTCATCATGTGGAAATTGCCTGTATATAAACAGGGATGACCGTATGCCCCAAAGTGTTTCTTACATTTTCTACAAAATGCCAAAGAAAGGCATTTTTTTTTTCTTAGTAAAACATTATAGCCTTGGTCACTTTGAGTAATTAAAGACGTTGTTTTTGTTTTATCCACTCTACCTTGCTTGATAAAAAAAAAAAAAAAAAAAAAAAAACTCTAATACACCATTCTTCTTGGGCAAACTCCAGCCAGACAGATATTTGTCGTTCCATTATTGTTTTAAAGTGTTAGCCCCAGACACATAAGCATTGTTGGAATGCAATGGAAAAAAAAGTTTTAAATCTCAAATGGGGTAATAAACTACAGCCAGAAGCTAATTGTACTGAAACCTGAGCCTTTATAACATGTTACTACTGTAGTGGGACCACTCAGCACTACTTTGGTGGGGTTGTTGTGTAATTGGTAGTAGATTACGTTGCAGACATATTTTTTTTTAAAGACGTCAAATCAGACATTTCTGCTTATTACTGTAGACCTCAGCATAATTCTCACAGCAATCAATGCATTTCATCCATTAAACTATTGATGGGGGGTATTAATTCATATAATGTTTAACTACTCACTGTGGACTTTCTCTCTGCCAACTTTCTTCCACCCAAGAAGTCCTGAAATGTTGCTGCTCCTGTCAAAAGAAATGAATCATTAATAAGAACCAGCAAGGCCAGTGGCAAGCTAGAAGCTGGGCCATGATATATGCAAGCCTCACATTATTTTAATTGAGCGCTGGACTGTACGTGTAAAAGGAGCAAACAGCCCAGTAGGGTTTTACCAAGAATCTGAAAGCAATACAAGGAAGGGTATATCCATCAAATCTATTTATTGAATATTTAGGTGATCTGAGAATACTTTTTGTTTTTAGATTATATATTTGTTAGACAGTCTAGAGTCAACAGGAACAAGTAAGTAATACTCCAACAAAATTCTGCACCCACAGGAGGCCAGGGAAATATGCACACTCATGTGCCAAAGTCTTCAAGAAACCAGGTCAAGTCTAGGTGAGAGTAGGCCTAGCTCCAAGAAAGCGTTGTGATAAAAATGGAAGAAATGTCTCCGCTTTCAAGTCCTCATGTTTGTGCTATGTCTATTTCTTTTTATGGTTATTTTTTTCTTTCTCTCCTTCTGCTCCTTTTCTGTTGAGACCACCTGCCTTTACGGAATTACATATCTACTTGCATCTACAAAATGAAGAAATGTGGGTCTTATGAAAGAGACTTACATGGTCACAAAATCATGAGTGTTGAAGTTAGATTTGAATTTAAAGCCAATTCTGCCACCTCTTCTTAAAAATTATCTTACCCCTTGAGTTCAATTTATTACATCATAAAATGAGAATAATACAGATGCTTTTCAATTTACATTGGGGCTCTGTTCTAATAAATATAAGTGGAAAATATTTCAAATCAAGAATCAATTTAATATGCCTAACCTACCAAACACCACAGGTTAACCTAGCCTAGCTTAAATGTGTTTAGAACACTTAAATTAGTCTATAGTTGGGCAACCTCTTGTAACACAAAGCCTATTTTATAATAAAGTGCTGAATATCTCATGTATTGTATTGAATAGTATATTGAAAGTGAAAAACAGAATGGTTGTATAGACGCAGAAGTATAGTTTCTACTGAATGCAAATTGCATTCACACCATAGTGAAGTCCAAAACTCGTAAGTCAGGGACCATCTGTGCTGACCTCATGACGATTTGATAAAGAATAAAAAGAATAGTATATGAAACTCTGAGGTGAGTTATTGGCACTAAGATGACAGTCAGTGTTGGGTAAGTGATGACTATGACAATGAAGAAGGAGCTAAGGTTTACTTGATCAAATGGGATAGACATTTTAGTGAACTAAAGTCCCCAGGCAGATTTGAGACCGAGATTGCTATCAACATCCTTAAAACTCACTCTGTCCTATATGTGTGTACTTTAGCTACCTGCTGGGTCTGCATTTGCCAGACTAATATTTAAAAATGGTGGAAGATGGCTGGGCTCAGTGGCTCATGCCTCTAATCCCAGTACTTTGGGAGTCTGAGGTGGAAGGATCATTTGCGGTCAGGAGTTCAAGACCAGCCTGGCCAACATGGTGAAACCTCATCTCCACTAAGAATACGAAAAAAAAAAAAATACCTGGGCATGATGGTGCATGCCTGTAATCCCAGCTACTTAGGAGACTGTGGTAGGAGAATCACTTAAACCCAGAGATGGAGGTTGCAGTGAGCCAAGATCGCATCACTACACTCCAGCCTGGATGACAGAGTGAGACTCCATCCCAAATAATAATAATAATAATAATAACAACAACAACAACAATAAATAGGATGGAAGAAGAAGCCTGGGTGGAGGAAGAGGGGAGTAGGCTTGATCTAACATACAGCTGAGAAAGCCATGCCCATTTATGAAGCCTGGAAATCACGTTTGTAAACCATAAGTGATCAAAATATTTTAATAGGGCCTAAAATATTCTGTCAAGCAGGCTAGAACAATCCCTTCCATCAAATTTTAAATATACTCCACAGTCAAGAAATATTCCCTGGTTAGACAAATGTAGCATTGAGCTTATTACTTTGTATATGTTTTCTCTGTTTGAAAACATAGTTTTTATCCTTATCCTGTAGAATGTTTAGAATTTTATAAAACCAGCCCATAATCTCAGCTGATCTTCACTGTGATCTTGTGAGGCCCTTATTATTACTGTCATCACCAATTTACAGCTTAAGCTCAAAGCGAATTAAGCAACTTGCCCAGTTATCCCATCACTGGTGTATTGCAGAAACACAACTACAACCATGATCTGCAGCTACTAAGTCCAGAAACATTTCACTAGAGGATTAAAAGTGGGTTTATACTTACACTGCTGAAGGCCACAGATCAATCTGAGTTGGCACCCTTTAATCCAAACCTCTTAGGGAAGTATGTATTTGCTCTGAAAATGTTTTATATATAATTGTCTCCTGGCTTTCGAGTATCTTTAGGCTCTAAACTATTTTTAAATAAACATTAATATAACTGATTTCTTGGAAACCTTATTAAATTAACTTTAGGTAAGTACTGTCTATCACAAGGAAGATTGTACAAGTATTCCAAATATATTGTTATTCATTCATTCATACAAAAATACCTAAAATAAGCCTTTACATCCAGAACACCATTCTAGGCTCCATACACACCCAGTTAAAAAAAAAAATAAAAATCAGACAAAAGTCACTGCTCTTTAGAGCTCAAAGTCTAACTTAGGGGAAGATGGAATATATCAATAAGTATTACATAAAATTTACTTAATGATATAAAGTTCTATAGAAGAAAACAAAGTGAGAAATGGAATTAGGATTGCTGGCGTGCTACTTTAAATAGGGTTATTTGGGAAGACCTCACCGATAAGACTGTCTATGACCAGATACCCAGAAAAATAACTAAGTAGAGTGACCCATTAGGAGGGTATTGCAGTATTTTGGGTGAGAGACGATGATGACTTGGAACAAGGGAGGGGGCAGTTTAGACAGTGAGAAGTGGCAGAATACAAATACATCTGGAAGACAGAGCCAATGGGATTTGTTAACACATTAAATGTGGGGTTTAAGAAAGAGGCAGAATATTTGGTCTGAACTCTGATAGTTGGGTGTGAACTTACTACGATGGTGAAGACAGAGATAGGACTAGGTTTGGGAGGCAAAGTCAAGTGTTTCGTATCGGACATACTACATTTTAAGTGTCAATTTGATACCTATGGAAGAGTCTTACATGCAGGCAGATAATTCTGGAGTTTAAAGAAGAGGTTCTGACTGGAGATGAACAAACAGAGAACTGTCTGTGTACGCAACACATTTAAAGTCATGACATTTAATGACTTCTAGGGAGTGTGAGTAGATAAAGACAGTGCTTAGAGAAGACACCTGGGATATCTGTATGGTTAGAAATTGGAGAGAAGTAGAGCAGCCAGAAAAAAAAAAATCTGAGATAAAGTCCAGAAGACTTTTACTGAAATATGCAGAGTATATTTTTGAATCACAGATTATGTATAGAACTCTTATACTTTACCTCTGATCCTTAACTTTATGTATTCTTCCCTATCAGGTCCTTTAAAAACAGTGACATAATTCCACAAACCCTTATCTCTCCTTTTCCTTTTATTAATTAACTGATTGCTTATTTTGAGACAGGGTCTTTCTCTGTCATCCAGGCTGGAGTGTAGTGGTGTGATCTCAGCTCATTGCAACCTCCACCTCCTGGGCTCAAGCAATCCTCCCACCTCAACCTCCCAAGCAGATGGGACCATCGGTGCACACCACTACACCCAGCCATTTTTTTTTTTTTTTTTGCATTTTTGGTAGAGACAGGGTTTTGCCATGTTGCCCAGGCTGTTCTCCAACTCCTGAGCTCAAGGTTGTCCACCCACTTCAGTCTCACAAAGTGCTAGGATTACAGGCATGAGCCACTGCACCATGCCTGGCTCTACCTTTCTTAAATGATCTCTCCTTTTGCCTGAAATCTCTTGATACTGTAATAAGAATTCCTTGAAGGTATGGCATAGCTTTTATTGAGCTCTGTCTATTTCCCCCAGGTCCTGCTCAAGGTGTTTGCAAGATGCATTCGAGTGTACAATCAACTGCTTAAATTCAGAGATTACATCTGCATTATGACTTTATGAATTCTCCTCCTAACAACAAATGTGAATGGGTAAAGTTTGTCTGTTCTTCAGAAACCTAAACTTAAAATTTTCCTAACACCCAGAAGTTTCACTGCTAGGAATATACACAAAAGAATTGAATACTGGCTCTCAAAAAATGCTTGTACACAAATGTTCATGGTAGTATTACTCAAAATAACCAAAGGTAGAAGATGCCAAAAACACATAATGAGAAAAAGAAGAGTCTCTTCAATAAATGGTGCTGGGAAATTGGGTATCTACATGAAGAAGAATAAAATTAGATTTTCATCTCACACTACACAAAAAACTCAAAACGGATTAAAGCCTTAGATATAAGATCTCAAACTATAAAACTACAAGATGAAAACAGGGGAAAAGCTTCATGACACTGGATATGACCCCAAAAGCACAGGCAACAAAAGCACAAATAGGCAATGGAATTACACAAAACTAAAAAGCTTCTGCACAGCCAAAGAAACAATCAACAGAATTAAGGCACAACCTATTGAAGGTAAGAAAATATTTGCAAACCAAATATCTGATAAAAAGTTAATGTCCAAAACATGCAAAGGAACTCAAGCAACTCAAGAAAACAAATAACCTGATTAAAAACTGGGCGAAGAAACTAAGTAGACATTTTTTCAAAAGAAAACAAATAAAACAAAAAAAGAAGACAAAAAACTAATAGGCATAGAAAAAGTACTCAACATCACTAATCATCAGGGAATGGCAAATTAAAACTACAGTGAGATATCACCTGACACACAGTAGAATGACTGTTACAAAAAAGACAATGATAAGAAGTCTTGGTGAGGATGTAGACAAAAGGGAACCTTCGCACCCTGTAGGTAGTAATGTAAATTAGTGCAGCCATTATGGAAAACAGTATGGTGATTTCTCAGTAAATTAAAAAAAGAGCTACCATATGATTCAGCAATCCTACTACTGGCTATATATGTAAAATAATGACATTAGTTT